ATTTATCAATGTCTTTATAAATAATGTTCTTTAATTTATAAAATTTTCTATGTTCAATAGTATAAGTCAAAATATATTTAAAAAAAAAAAAAATATGCATAGGAATACTGAAGAGGAAAATTTACATAAAACTGTTCTTAACAAAAATGGATGCTTGCATCTTCTCTATGGGTGCTTTGAATTTTAACGAGAATATTTTATTGTATTCGCGGTTTTAATTTTTTTGTTTTGTTGTTCTTTTTATAGTTTATTTTTCGAGTAATGTAGATTTGTCAAGAGATTTATATTCTAAACGTGAAATTTTTCTTAAAATTAAAATATTTTTCTGGCTTAACTTCCATTTTAATCGAATTTATTCAAATCAAGATTGAATTTTTAAAATTTACCTTAAGGAAAGAATTGATTGATAAAATTCTTTTTAAGACATGAACATGAAAAAAAAATTAGAGGTTCCTCCCTCCACGTTAAACTTGTTCATCCATCCATTAGAAAATAAAATTTGTTTCTTTCAAGCCGGAATTGTCCATCACAACTAATGCATCTTACAGTAGGACCTACAATTTCGGATTATCGAGAAACAACAGTAAAATATTATTCAGTGTGTAATGGTTAGAAAAGACAATAGCAGAATCACTAACACAACAGATTCCTTCCTCGATAACGTAAAATTACAGGACCAAAAATACCAGACAAAATCGAATAAAAATCTTACAAGAAGCCTGACAAAAACTTGTACTACCGGCATTTTCTCCTCCTTCCCTTTTTCTTTTCTCATTCGAAGTATTTTCGTGCGAATCTCTCCGGAGAAAAATCTACTTTGATAAGTTTAAAAATGCATTAAAAAATTCGGTAAACTCGAAATTAATTTCTTTTACCACTCTTATAACACAAGTAAGGACGAGGTATTTAATTTTAACACGATATCATCACGCTATAGTTAAAAAAAAAAGTAAGCATCTTTAGAATCTGCCAAGTACATCTAATTGTTGTTACGTTGAATAGTATCTGAAATCTTCTTGAGCTGATCGTATGTGTGACCGTGCATCCATCCGTTAACCGAGTTACAACGAAAGCTTTTGTTCCCTTCCAACTTTTCCTTCTTCCGACGCAATTCTCGTAACGACTAACCACATTTCTCCATGTTAATTAACTCCATTAAATTTGCAGTGGAAAATACAGAAAAGTGGTAAAACCCACTAGCGATTTTTATTTATTTATTTATTTTTTGTTTGCTTCGACAGACTGGTTTAGATTCCATTGACCTTTCTAGTCATCAATGTACTGCCGAAGTTGTGAAATCCTTCTTCTTCTTCTTCTTCGCTTGACTGGACTTTTTCTTCTTATTTTTTCTCACGATGTTGCATTTTTTTTTTCATTTTTTGGTTGTTGTAATATTCATTATTTTGTCGTTTCTCTACATAAACGTTCATTAATCATTTTATACTTAAAATATTACTACCGGTGTTGTGAAACGATGGCGATTCCAGCTTTACGACATTTAATATTAGCTTTTTTCTCTCCTTTAAAAAAAAATATTTTGTAAATTCATAATCTTCACGTGTTAAATTAATTTATAAATTAATTTATAAATTAATTGCTGCGTGATGTTTATAAAAAATTAGGAAATTTTATAATTTCTCTCTCTCTCTTTTTTTTTTTTTTTTATTGATTAGAGAGGAAGAAAAATGTGTATTGAATATTTAATAATTGTTTCGGCTTTGTTGCACTTCACTGTGTAATTAGCAAAGGAAGGAATGCAGGATATTACTCTAGACATAACATACAAGGAAGTAAGTAACTGACAGGCAGACATTTTCTTTAGTTTTATAACAAAAGTCCCTTTGAATATATTCAGAGTAGGTGCAGCCTACTCTTTTTTACTTCATTTATTCAGTTAAAAGAGTATTTTTATAAATTTTCCTCGCTTAATTTTTAAATTATCTGTAGAAATTTATTTGTTTTACTTGTTCATTTGATATTTAATATGATAGTTTGTGTTAAATTATACATAGAAATTCCTCCACATTGTTAATGTTAAAATATATTTTAGACCATATTTATTACAGTTTTAATGCCTAAGAATTGAATTAAATATGATACAAAATACATTATAATACTGTATTTAGAATATGAAAAGTAAGATATTTGAATATAGAACGATAAATGATGAAGTATAGAACATACTGAAATATAAAATGCCAAATACATTGAATATAAAACGAGATACAATCAATATTGAGCGTGAATACAGAACACATTACTTATATAAAAAAGGGAAAAAATAGAGGAAACTGAATATATAAACTTAAAAAATATATAGATTGTAGATTATAATTATCAGAAAATAAAGAATGTATTATACAGAAGGAATAGAAACAAGAATTCTTAACACCTTAAGCAAAAAAGTACTATGTAATCATTAATACATAACAATGCTTAATCTAAGAAATTAAGCATTAATATATATTTTATATGATTATATACTCCTTCTCTATAATATTTTTGTTTAAAAGTTATTATATGTTTAACATTCTCTATAATTTGTTAATAATATATATAATACTTGATACTATTATGGTACAGTACATAAAGAATATATCAAAGAATAAAAAGTATATTCTCTAAAATTACCTTTCTCAATCTTTTTAAATTCCATAAATTTTTTTATTTTTGAACAATAAAACTAATTAATAATAGTCTCTATTTATGTCCAAAGTATGCCTAGAATTTATAAAATTAGCCATTTATAAATATCTTTGATATGAAATATTTATTAATATCAATAAATAAATTAGTAGTAGTCTTCATTTATTATAATAAAATCGAGTTATTAAACAGTGTGTATGCTACAACTTAGCTAAATTCTAGCGATTTAAACTGAATTTTAATTCGAAATATATTATACAAATTATCATTCTCTCGGTGTAGATTAATTATATAGATTTACAGTAAATTTTGATTTAATTATCTTAATCAATAGTTAGTTCATTCTCCATGTTTACCAATTTGACAATGTAGCTTTATTAAGTAGTAATTTTCTTATATTTATCATTAAAATTTACATTAAAATCAAATCTTTTATGCTATTAAAATATGTAAAGTAGCACTTTTGTGCTATTTTTATATATTAAAATAACATGTAGATATTTTAAATTTATATTCACAAGACTTTATACATAACTTTAGCTCTACTCTTTGATAAAAATTCAAATATTTGTTGAAAATTAATTGATACTGTCATTATTATTTTTTTCTTTGTTGTAATGTTGTAAAGGTGCCTTCCATATAAAATAGCCAAATAAAAACTGGTTAATTAATAATAATTTATAATAAAAATGACAAAAGTGATCGTAATCAAAACATAAATGTTCATTAATAAGAAAATAGAATCTACTCTTGTAATATAATTATGATAATTATAAAAATGCAATATGCTTAGGCATTTTTAAGGCATTAGAACTCATGAATAAACTTATTTCATTAATTAACAGTCATTAGTTTAATCATAGACCAGGTCTATTTTATAACATGCATCTTTGTATGGAATCTGTAATGAGTTAATTAATATTATAATAGCTAAGTTTCCATTTAAGTAAACTAACATTTTGCATGTAAGTTTGTAAAGTCGCCTATGAACACAACAAATAATAATTAAACTATAAATATATATATATATATATATATATATAAAAGGCAATTTTCTTAAGTAAACATCTTCATTAAGGAAAAAAAATTATTTAATTACAGCTGTATTAATTTGTACTAATGAAAAAAAAAACAAAATAAAATTAAGAAATTAAAATTTAATTTTACTTTTTTGTACAAAGTATTATACTCTATGTTCAATACATTTTATAACTTCTTCTTTTTATCCTTAACACTAATCATCCTCTGACCTTACCCTATATTTTAAATCCTTACATTTTCTATATTTNAACTTGTTTTTCTCAAAAATAAGCGGAACTAAGTTTAAAATCTTGCACGCAAAACTCGATTGGACATTTAAATCGATACAATTTCGAAGAAAATGGGTTCTGCAGTGTAGTAATAATTTGCAAAAATTCTATATCTGAAAATATTATTTCCAGATAGATTAAAGCACGGTCGGATAATTAGGCAATACTTTGCACAATTCGTTCCAACTTGTTCTTATAAAAAATGTTGGGGGCCTATTTTGGGTGGTTTATTTCTCACAAGAACCATCATTCTTCACTCGAATCGTGGTCCACTTCCTTTCGGCTTCTATTTAGACACCTTTAGCACTGACACATATCTCACTCAGACAGCAATTGGGGTAATTCCCAAACGGATTCCAAGTCTACCCCTGGGGTTGTTAGCGTATATTCCAAGCATAAAAAGCAACAACGGTAAAAAAAATTATATATCTAAAGAGAGAAAAGTAGGCAAAGCCTACCTATGTAATCCTACGTATTATTGAACGTGTTTACCACGGTTAAAATAAATAAAATCTATCAAAAAAGTACACTTTTGATCGAAGCCAGTCACCTCTGTTACGTTACCATTTATATGTTCTCCAGATTGCGTTCCCCGAGCTACTATTGGCCCAAAGGTCTGAATAATCTCGAGAAAGGAAGCAGAAAGGTTTAATTTCGACCAATGGAGTAACCGAATGCGTTAGAGCATATCGATCCAGTTGGAGGGTAGCGGAGGATACTGCGCTTTTACAGCCCCAACGGCAGAAGGTGGGAGATGTGTTCTGTCGTGAACTGGACCGTCTGGTTTTCTGCAAGGTTTATTATAGGGAGTAACCGACTTGGTATGTGACATTCGGTAGCCTCTGAGTTTTACTGGATATTTTGCTAATCGAAGGCTACGTGTTGCGCATCTATTGTTTCTGCTCTGTTCTTAGTCAGTGCCAAATGTGTGTGTTTCGTGCCTGTTTGTGGCTTTACGCCGTTTGGACTTCTAAATTCAAGTCGTCTTTAATATTAAATTTCGGTAAGTGCTTTTTTGTTTTTTTTCTTTCTTGTTTTTCCCCTCTTCTTCTTTTTGCCATCTTAACCGCGGTAGATCTTTATCAGAAACACACGTTAAGTCTTTTGATAATTCTTCTAAACACGAGTTACGAACAATACACTGTTTAAAATGGCGTGTAAATTAGTAAATTAATGCAAAACAGAAAGGAAGTTTAGTTAATTAACCATTTAGTAATATCCTTTTCTTACACGGTAATTTTTTTCCTCTCCTATTAAGTGAATGTAAGCATGTAAGACACCGGCGCCTATGTTGTAATTTGATACAGAGAATCCAAACCTACTTAAGAAGTCCTCATTTGGACGAATATGAGGCTTCCTTAAGAGGAAAAATGGCTTTTCTTATTCTTTTTGGCCATTGTTTTTTGTAAGTAACATGACTTTTAGATTGCTATTGTTATCCTAGCGCGATCGAAACGAGTCGAAGTAACCAAGCGCGTTATTACCAACCAGGACAGATTACCTTTTAATTTTATCTAATTATAGTTGGCAAAGCTTCGAAGCCAATATGTTATTTTCGATATTGTAATGAGTTTTGGCATCTTTAAATCATTTCTCACTCTACAAATGTTTGTGGACGTCATAAAAAAAAAGAAGAGGGGAGAAAAACCAAGATAATTATGATTAAAGAAGAAATTAAAGCAGCAGAACTTTATTGTCATTATTAAAAATTAGAAATGGAAGATAGAATGAGTCCGGTTTAATTAAATGGGAACGGCCACTCACCTGCAGACCCTCTAATGCGATGAGTAAGATAGACTAATATCTTCACGCCTGTTAATATATCCAGGCATCTGAAACGTGGTTACGATAACACAATATTGATGGAAAGTGACGTTACTTATCAGATATTTTTGGAAAAAAATGTGGGCGGAGGAAGAGGCGTTGTTCGGGATTGCCCATGTAGACCTACAATTTGTTTTTTTTTTCTTTCTTTCTTCAATGGGAGTTTTTCTTGGAAATTTACATCTTTAGTCTCAGTTTGCACTTCATATACTAAAAATACCTCAGCAATTTAAGTGGAATAACGAATTGCAATGTTACACTACAAATTAGTATGCTTTTAATGTAATAAAACTAGAGCTACTGGCATTTAAACGAATCAAAGGCGGCTAAAGTTAAACTTATATAATTTTGAAAACTTTTTAATCTACTTTCTAATCAAAGAATTCCGAACTGCACCACGCAAACGCCCGAAGAATAAATCTTATAGTTTCTGGTTAGTCCAGCCATTCCAGCACCATTCATCACTTACTATCATTTATCAAAAGAGGTGCTTCAGAATGTCAGATGGGGTTCATTCACACCCTCAAAGATAGAACACTACATCGATTCGATGTTTGTGTGATTTCCAGAATATGGTTCATAACACAATGCCAGACAATCGAATGAACTTTAGGCCCTTTGCTCTACCTGTAGAGGCAATCTACTGACTCCTGGAACCTGTTAGGTAACTTTTTCGGACAGCTGCCGATGCTTCTTCGCTCTTCGTTGTTTTCGGCGGCCATATTCTATGCACGTATCCATCACACAAGTTAATTAGACTGATTGGTGGTGATCGGAATGCACCTTTACCAAAGGATATCTATTTTGCTCCAGGAATAATCTTTAAGGATCCACTCTTTTGGTAGGTTATACTTTTGATTCGTTTTAAATGTTTAATGTTTAGTTTTTGCATGACTTACCACTCCCCTCTTCTATATTACTCGTTTCTACGAAGCAAATCTTTTAAAAAACTCAATTTTTATGTCAGAAAATTCAAGTTTAAAAATGTTTTAAGAAAGGTGCGGCTTCTCGTCTCTCTAGAATCCTTTTCCAAGGTATGATAATAGACCAATTCTATTAAGCTACAATTTTAAGATAATGATAAGGCTCGACAGTATCATTAAGCTTTTATCTCCTATGATTTGCAGACTTATTTACGAATAAATAATATAATGATAAAAGTCAAAATCGCAGCATCTTCATATTAGAAATCTTTTTGATACAATAAAACTATAGCATCGAGTTTTATAAAAAGAATTTAGTACAAACCCTGTTGAGTTACTACGCAAAATGTTTCAGTCCTGAAGTTATAAGCAAAGGTTTCTAAGACTAGTTTGACCTTCTAAATTGCTTTCGTACGTGTTGAAAAGTAAGATCTTCATAAAAAAATATCGTAAATAAAAACAAAAACAATAATATAATGTTAGATAGACGATTAAAAATCATCACGAAAGACCGTGACGTTAGGTCGAATCTCGGTGCGGTTGCATCTAACAACCGCCATAACTGGTTCATTGTCGTCATGAAGGTTTCACTCGTGACATTTGATATTATAAAACTGTTTTTAAAAAGTACTTTAAATCTGTGAATGAACAACTCTCGAGTTGTTAACTATAAACGACACGATACTTAGTTTTCAACTACACAAAGTACAGCCATCTGTTTAGCGTTATGCATTGCTTGTCAATAATAATAATATATTGTTTCCATATAGGTGCAATACGTTACTCATTAAACGGTAATGAATTTTTAAGCTGTTTTAACGACGTGAAAAATTTCCATTGTTCTAAGGCGTAGGCCTACTGTTCTCCGGATGTTTTAGTTATGCTATTTTAAAATACTGTATCATCATTATTTATCTTTTTAAATCTTCCCATGGCATTAAAAGTAACAATGGTTGAATTATTCTCAAAATATAGTTTTCTGTTCACTTAAACTTTATAAATTTTACTGTTTTTTTTCTATATTATATCTAAATTTTGTAGATAATTATGTAACGATATTAGGCCTAATCATCATTTAATTTTTACGACTGATTTATCCATTCTTATCTTATTCATCTTATTCATATTTTTCTAATTTTTATGCAGATATTTTGAATATTTTCATCATTTTTTACGGCTGATATCCAAGTGATTTTCATTTTGTTAAGTGAAAAGTAATTTTATTTTCTAATTTACAGCGACAAAAACCTTTATTTCTGTTGAGAGAAATAAGAAAATTTAAAGAAAAAATCGATTTAAAAAAGATTTTAAAAGTTTCTGATAACTTTTAGATCTTCTTTCCACGGTTTATCTCATAAGAAAATTGCATAGGAGTTGGAATTTAGAATGATAAATCCTCTTTCTGCTGAATCAATAAGTATTTTTGATCAGTTTAAAGAATACAACTGAATGTTATCAAGAATAATCTTTTAATTTAAATCGATTTTATAAATATTTCTTAAATTATATAACAATTTTAATATAATATCTAAGCATCTATATCTCATATACAAAATACAGTGGCCTAGATATATATATATACAAAACTTCTAGTCATTTTCAATTAAAGAATTTTATTTAAAAATAAATAATAATAATTATTATTTAGCCTACGTGACGTGTAACTGTATAATATACTTATTGATTTTCGGAAAAAATTACTACAACCGAATAAGAGGGGATAAACAGGAAGCACCGGATGACAACTTCCTTCTTGTTATTTGACTAATAGCGACTTCCTTCGAGTTTATCCTTAACACAAAAAGAAAGATCTTGTGATCTGTCTCGCCGCATTAACTCGGATTTATATTAAAATTCAAGTGTAGTAGGAATTTTTCTATAAAAATGGCAAAATAAGAATTTCCTGGTTGTCATTTTGAGTTATAAAGAGCACTTACACAGATGGAAATGGGTCAGTCAGCGACCTGGATCAAAAAATGTCAGATGTTGACTATCGTTTGTCTATCTCTCTCGGGTCATTGACTCGAAATCTTTTTTCTGTTTAACAGAGAAGAAAGTGAAAAAGTTTGACTGCTCATCTATCAAATATTTTCATCACCGTTGCCGAGATGAATTCGCTGTAGAGAGAAAAATATTTGGCTAAAATTACGTAGGAGGGAGTTGTGTTTGTTCAACAAAAATAAGTTGACTCCATATTTTCTCATTCAAATTTTCTTATCTTCTCCAATTTCTTCTTAAATATTCTTCTTATATTAAAAAAAAAAAATTTACTTTAATTTTTTTCATAAAAAAATTGTTATCTGAATTGAATATTTAACGAGAAATTCGAGAAGAAAAAAAGACAATTTACATAGAAAATATCTTATCCATTTTCTATTTTAAATTGTATAAATTTACATTCGAAAATTGTATAATTTGCCAGTAAATTCTAGTTTTTAGACAAAATAAACAAAATAATTTATAAATAAAACCCTTCCTATGTATAATTTTAGTTCTTTATTGCTATATATTTTCTTTTTACATTATGAGAACCGTCGTTTTATATTTTTAGGAATGTTTTCCTTGTAAATAAATGAATAAATTTTATATGATTTTGGAACATTACACTGTATATTATTAATGTAACTTACGTAGACCATCGCTTATCCTCTTTATGGATTTACTAATGGATATAGTTTAGCAAATCCTTTGCCTTTAATATACCATAATATAGACGTTATTGCTGTTAAGGATCATGTAACAGCTAGACATATTTGCCATATTTCCAATTATAGAGACCTTCAGACGTGTGTATCTAGTTACATCGTCGTGTATAGTTTGAATGGATGCGTACACTAATGAACTATAATAATCATTATTTATAGACCGCATCGGATAGATTTTATCAAAATATAATTTATTCAAGCTTTGTTTCGAAATATCGATAAATAATTAAGTTTGAAACATTTCGACATTTAATTAATTCGTTTCGAAATCAAAGCTTTGTTAATTATATCGTTGCTCAGTAATGAATTCGTGCTTTGAGTAATTATTGTTGTCACAAATCGGATTCAATGTCATTTCATCTCGTTATAATTATTCTAAACGTCTTCTACGTAAATTTACGAAATTCCAGTTTACAATATATCATAATATAACTCATTCATGAGTTAAAAAATTTCTTATTAATTCCCATTTTATGAATATTTAGCGTGTTTAATGTATCATCATCTTTCATTACGACTTTAGAGACGAAGCGTTAGAAAGTAGAAGAATTCTTTACAGAAAATTACACTTAAAATAATTAAATTAGTAAAAATAAATGTTAAATATTGTAAAATAGAATATTTAAATTCATATTTTTGTATAATTCAAGCGTATAATTTGATTTTAACCATTATATTTTCGTTTTGTAAACAGTTATAGAGAGAAAAATAAGCAAAAATATTACATAAGATTATAGGCAGTTCTTGTATTTTTAGATGTAAATAATTTATGAGAAGTTGTTTAGAGACGTGATTATACTAATAAAGATTGGCTAGAGTTAAAAAGAACAGGAGGAGATATATTTATTTCCATTTGTTTCTGTGTTTTTAAATGAACCAACGTGATGATTAAAAACAGAATTAATCAATATTTGTTATAATCTTTTCGAATGAACATTTTAAATCTATTGAAAAATTCAAAATAATTTTTATTTATTTATTTAATTTATCTATCTTCTACCATTTCTCTACTCCCTATTACATAAACAGGAAGAGTAGTGTGACGAATATTGAAATTTTCTAGCATTAAATAATGTTCCAGAACTTATTACTTTTCTAGTTTTTTCCCCCTTCCTCCCATCAATTTATCAANAACAATTAGTTTCTGTCAAGTTCCTTTCTAACAAATATCGCATCTAGAATTCAATACTTAAGGTTCGAATTTTATATTTTTTCTTAAAATTTGAACAGTAGAAAAGTTTGTAAAAAGTATTGACAGCTTTTAAATAAAATAAAATTATAGTTTGATGTATGTCCATCCTCTAAAAAACATTAGCTACGAGTTTTATTCATGAGTTTTAGCTGATTTCTAGCGAAAAAAAGTGTTGTGACTTCGACACTTCGTAATCTATTTTCAAGAGATTCTAACTTCTTTTTTAGAAAATCAAAATTAATTTTCCATAAAATCTTAAGAAGTGCCATAAAAATCAATCGCTGTTTATTATATGATTATATTTGAGACCAATTTATACAGGAGGAAAATCTCTTTAAGATCTAATGGAAGTTTCTCTCCCTTCTTCTTTTCTTTCTCTATCGACATTCTTCTCTAAAGATAAATTAAGAGCTAAAGAGGATTAGATAATTACTGAACAAATCTTCTTTATAGAGCCGAAATCAAAATTTATTAGAGGATGTGCAATTTATTTGTATTGTATTCAATCTGATAATGCTGATAAGTTACTTAAAAACGTGTTTTTTTTTGAAAAAATATTTCGACGACAGTAATTTGTATAACATTATCGGTGGCCTATTAAATGATTTTTGGTAGTTTTAGTAGTAAAACACTTCGGAATTCTAGACATTGAACTTATTTAAAGGTCAATAATCGCTACTTTTAACACGTTAATAGCGGATCCAATGTGCGAGGAGATTTTATCAGAAAAATCCGGTTTGGCACAAATTTGTGACAAATAAGCTTAATTTACTTGAAAAAATAAAAAAAAAACACAATTTTTTTAAACATTATGACTCAAATTTGCTTATATTAACAACAAGGTACTTATGATAAATTATCACTTCTCATATAGTGTTATTATAAATCCAATACATAAACTGCACTAAATAAAAGAATTTCCCCTGAAAAACATAAGAATTTTTTAGATAAAGGTTACCTAATTTTTTCCTTATTCGCGTATTATACTTCAAGGCCAAAAAGTTATCCCCTTAAATTAGGAGAGAAAGCTCCGTTTAACACGCAAAAATTCCTGTTTTAGAAATGATCCCATTAAATAAATACGGTTATAAAACGTGATTATATAAATATATATTTATATATACATAGTTATTTTCGTAAACGATACGAAGAAATATATTCTAAAAATGATTAAGTAGTGGACAGACACACGACCGCTTGTAGAGAGAAAACGAGTGGAAAAGCGAAATAAATCATTGACCATGCATTAAGTGTAAAGTAGTGAAACTATCGAACGTGTGAATAAAAAGGGGGATGCTAAAATTGTTTGCTTCGAATGTATTATGGGCGTCTTCAGACATTTCAGCTGTGTAGGCCTAACTTGATTGTCTGCCAAGGCAATTTCCTGGTCATTGTACTGTATACTTACCAGCGCCGTGACATTCCAGCTAAGAGTTTTTTGAGGGCTGGCGTTAAAACAAATGAGCCGACTCTTTCCTATTTTTGTTTGCATTTCTTTCATTTGTAGGAGGACGAATGCTTGACGATGTTCTATTATTCATGCTCAAATCTCTTGTGATTTCCATTCTGTATCCCTTCTAACGTTCCTGAATATTAACTTAGGTAAATATGGTCATAAGAGGGATTTTTTTTCCATGGATTGATTAAGAGATACTTTCTGGATTAATTATAAAATCGTCTACTACTAATCTCGGGAATTTTCTTGTTTATGAATGGAAGAACAAGCAGGAATTTTTATTTTCTAGAAAGGTAGAAAATCTAACGAGATACAAAATAAAAGGGTTCTTTTCTTCTAATTTAGTTCTTATTTTTTCTTCTCGTAGAATTGAGAATTTACAGCTTTTTTGCCTACAAATTTTGTGGCGTGTCAGCTAAAAATTCTTATAAAAAAAATACAAATTATAACAACTTTTTAAAGGCAGAAATGCTTAAAAATAAAATAAAATAAATAAATAAATATATATCCAAGTTTTTATATAGAACTAATTACATTGTCTCGTTGCCGGTACAAAATATTTTCTCCTTTCTTCTTTATATTCTGCACATCATCTCCAAACAAGCTGCTGGTGTGGATCGGTTCAATATTTTTACTTTTATAGCCAGTATCGCATCTACATCACTACTACTTATCGCTAAGCGGAAAAAAGCGGGGATACTTTACAATATTTCAATGAATATCTTACTTGTCAACATCCGTCGGCATCCTGTAATATTTTTTACTTAAGCTAGTACACATAGTTTGCTTTATAGATTTAGATATTTTCGTATTTCATTTGCATGCTAAGCGTGCGTTAAAATTCTAAACGTTGTAAGAGCAGCGTACTCGTCTTCTCGACCTTTCATCTCTAAAGTTGCTCGCACCACCTGCTTCCAAGTTTGCTGGTCGACACGAAACGTTGGAAGAGCGTAAATAATGCGAATGGTTCTGCTGTGATGCCAACTTTTGCCGACTTTTATCGGTTTGAAGCCAGTGACATTCATATTCAGAAGCCATACAAAGTGGTAGAGAATGTGGAAGAAATCGCATTGGATATGGGAGGACTGTAGCTAAATATAAAGACGATAGAGACTAAATAACTCATCAAAATTATCTTCCCTGTCAGCTATCGATTTAAGTCAGTAATTAATTTTAACCGCGTTTAGAACGTGGGAGGGATAATTCGTGATCATCCTCACATTTCATGATTAAGATGTGCCTATTCATCATCTTGAAATCTGAGTTTTTCATAAAGAAATGTTATCACTTTATAATCCTTAATGAAAATATCATTTTAATACTTTTATTTAAATTAAATTCGCTTCTGTCGAGGGGAAAAATATAAGGTAAATGAATTTTAAACTAGCAGGAAAAAAAAAATTCATGTTGCGTGATACAGTAAGAGAATGTGTAGGATTTTACTATGTTATTTTATATTCAGTTCGTAAGCTGTTTATTATTTTGATTGCCGAATTCACTTCTTGATTGAAGGTAAAAGTATACATCTTCGTAATAAAGTAGGAAAGTTTAAACGTCGAAATTCTCTTACGTGATGCTTCAAATTAGCAGGAAGCTATGGAGATTTGGATATACAAGACGGCTGAACTAAAATAAATGGTTTTTAAGATTGCAAGTAGGCCCGTACATGGAATTACATTTACATATTTAATGAGAAGAAACACGTTTAGAAAACAAGTCTACCTCGTTGAACTCTCTTTACTTGTAAATATATTAAATTTATCTTTGAATAAATCGCAAAAAACATACTTTCCAACTATTTAACATTTATTTTACGGTAATTAATGCGTATTTATTGTAACTAAAGAGTGATATATATATATTTTTCTGTTACAGATGAGAGCTATTTAGAAGTATAAAGACCTGTCCACATTCACCTTATGTCTCTGTGGACAGGAGACATCCATGTGGGGACTGGCATTCAACTGCCTACCTACAAGGTGACAATGGAAACTGAATCGGTCAGATCCGGTCACAGCGAACAATCGTCAAGATCTCGAAGGAGCAGAGGTCATAGCAGTCATGGAGGAGGCTCTCATCATCACAGTCACAGAAACAGGAGTACCGGATCCGGAAAGCACTCTCTCAGGTCTAACCGATCCGGAAACAAGGAGGAGAGTGGAGAAGAAAGAACGGAAACTGGAGAAGTTATCGAAGTGCAAATACTATCGCAGGACGATAACTGGGGTGATAATACTACCGCCATTACCGGAAACACCAGCGAAAGATCGGCTTCGGTGGATGACATATCCAAATTCGGACGCGATTTCGAACAAGGTTTGGCATTTCGGTGCCAAATGTGGATGGGGACAATCATAGCGGCTCTACTATCATTCTGTGCCTTCATATCACCCATAGTTATGGTAGTGCTACCAAGGATAGAGATGTTCGATTGGAAGATCGATCAATGTGGTCCCGAATGTGATGGTTTGCTCATAAGTTTCTCTTTTAAACTTTTAATACTCTTAGTCGGTTGTTGGGCAGTGTTTTTCAGGAAACCAAAAGCTACCATGCCCAGAATATTTATTTTTCGAGCTATAATTATGGCTTTGGTGTTCGTTTTTACCTTCTCGTATTGGCTCTTCTACGGAGTGCGCTTCCTCGAGAAGAGAACGAATAGCAGCGGTACTTCTTATCAGAGTATCGTGTTGTTTGCCGTATCGTTGGTGGACGCTCTGCTCTTCATACATTACTTAGCCGTGATTCTTATGGAAATTAGACAATTGCAACCCCATTATTTTGTCAAAGTGGTACGATCGCCCGATGGCGAGAGCCATTGCTATAACATGGGACAGCTCAGCATACAAAGAGCTGCCGTATGGATTTTAGAACGATACTACCAAGATTTTAGTATTTATAATCCGTATTTAGAAACCATTCCCACCAAAACAAGAAAGTCTACTTCAGGCTTCAAAGTCTACGAAGTAGATGGAATAGGGAACAATACAATCAATGGACAAACAAGAGCTGTTTTGGCAGCTAATGCCAGAAGGAGAGACACTAGTCACAACGAAAGGTTCTATGAAGAACACGAATACGAAAGACGTGTTAAGAAAAGAAGAGCAAGATTGATTACTGCTGCTGAAGAAGCTTTCACACACATCAAGCGGTTACAAGACGAACAAGGTGAGTAAATTCTACTATTTTTATACCTCCAAAACTCCAAAAAATTAATCAATAAACAAGTTTTTCACAAAAATCTCTTCCAACATATTCATTGAGTTAATCGTATTAAGAAGCCAGCAAATTAATCTTTGACCTCGCCTCTAATTAATTATCCTCAGAATAAATATGAATCAAAAACATAAGTAAAGAAATTCATTATTAATAAGGATTAAATCATCTCTTTTAAATGCAAATCTCGTTAATATGATTGCTTTATCAGCAAAATTTCTATCTTTCTGCAAAAGAAAACGAGATCAAATATTGTTTCAAGTGAAAATTTCTATCCTTTTTTTCTAACCTCCAAAAATATAAAGTACTCTTCGGTGCCTATCGACAGGAAACTGCTTCACTTAAGCTTTACAAATCTTTATTTTATTGCTAGTTCGACGGTTAAAGGAAATGCTTGGCTTGGAATTTTCCCTTTTTTACTACTCTACTTTTCAGATAAGCTCTTTTATATATATAAACTTATATTTCGATAGTTTCGTCAAAAATTTTCGATAACTTAATTCTAAAAAAAAGAAAGAAAGTTTTATTTATTTTAAAATATATTGGAAAGAGTTGAGATTCCAGCAATAAAATCGATAAATTCTCATCAAATTTTGACAATAACATGATCAGTAAGTGACAAAACATGTGCAAGAAAGTTTGAAATCTATAAAACATGTTTATATCTCGTAAATATAGTATCTTTGGATGTAATGGTAGTTTACTACTAGCCAGAAACATCACGTAAAAAAATAAGAGAAGTGGACTGGCGACAGGTAAAAAATGATACCATTATACAACAGAATGTGGATAAAGTAGATTTGTGGCATAATTTATTATTTTGGGAGCGGGAGAGGTTATTTAATTCCCAATAACAACTTTTCGAAGAATGTATTCAGTCGTAAAGTCTTTATATTTAATGTTTCATCGAAATTTATCACTATTGTTTGCCACAAATGAAAATTAACAAGGTTGTTAATTTGCTACACTTGTTCAATCGACGACCTCCTCAAGAGAAGAATTCTAATTAAGAAATCTTCCAGATAAACATGTTTAAATTCTAAACACGATCGTACTGATTGATGTTACAACTTTATACTAAATTCTAACTTAAAATATATATATATATATATTTAGACGTTCTTTTGTTATAAAGATATAATAGTTTCTTATGATAGAAAAAAAAGTTCTCTTTACGTCGGTGTATACTTTAGAGTTTAGACGATCCCTTACTAAATAATTAGCGTAACTAGATACCGAAAATCAATTCTTTTAGATGCTAAAATCTCTTTAGTAATTAAATCTTTAATTAATTCAACAAGAGAAACTAATTAAGAATTTATTTCTGTTTATTGTTAAAGATAACGTTTGACGAGTGGAAAACAATAAAAGTTATAGTCTCTAGCATCCTCCTCTTCGCATCACGTTTAATTTTATTCTTGATTTTTCTTTGCTTGATTTAAATATATTACTTTTATCAGATTTTTAAAGGTTATTTCTCTATTAAGAATTTTTTTAATTGATGATTACGCATGTTAAATATTTAAGATAATCGATTAACTTAAAACCAATTAAAAAAT